GAGGAGGGAGGAGGGGACGGGTATTTGCATACACAAAGAGTGCAATGCGCACCACCCGAAGGATGGACATATTTGAAACTCGGATTTGGGGGGGGGCAAGGGCAACATACATAACCTAAACATCTGTACCCCCATAATATGCTGAAATAAAAAAAAAATATATCTGTGGAGTAAGAGAAGGTTTCCATGAGGAAGTGACATTTAAGCTGAGGCATGAAATAGCTGGAAGAAGGGGGCAGGAGTTGCATGTGAGTGTGAGGACCAGGGGTGCTGGAATGTTCATAGCAGTAATTAATAACAGCACGTGCAAAAGCCCTGCAGTAGGAAGGAACATAACGGACTTCGGACACTGGGTGGAGGAGAATGACCAGAGACTGGAAATGGTTCTGAAGACATAGGCAGGGTCACGTCTGATAAGGATTCTGAACTCTTGAGGATTCTGAACTCTGTCTTAAGATCAATGGGAAGCCATTGATAAGGCAGGGGAGTGGCACAATCAGGTTTATATTTTTAAATATCACTCTACACTGTGGAGAATGGCTGGGAGGTGAAAGCAAAAGAATGAGAAGAGACCAGTTATAAGACATGGCAAAAGTGGGAGAGAGAGATGGTGTTTGGACCAGGACAGCAGGGTGATGATGAGGATGGAGAGATGGAGCCAGATATGGAGCAGAACTGGCAGAACCTGGTAATGATTTGGATATGAGTGCAGGGAGACAGTAAGAAGGCCAGGCGAATTCCTGGGTTTCTTGTGAAGAATTAGGCAGACAATGGAGCAAAAGTTGTACTGTTTGCTCAACTAGGGAAGCCAGGAGTAGAAGCAGTAGAAACAGAAGAGAGAAAGAGAGAGAGAATGTGTTGCCAGTTAAATATCAAAGTGTCTAACTGGTGTCCAGTTTTACAAAAAACTGTATGGTATCTTAGGACACTGGGTACTGCCTAAATAAAAAGCTTATGTAAATACATATGCATGTAAATCTAATTCCATACCCAAACTAAAGTCTCTCCTAATAAAAAATACTATAAAGTAAAATAGAACACCTGACGCATTGAGCTCCTCAGTACTGTAGGTCTAGAGTGCAGGCCAAGTATCTGTTTCTACAAGGCTGCACCAGTGACTCTGATATGAAGCCAGCGTTGATGTGAAAGGGAGAAGTGTATATCATGTGCCTACCACATAGATGGTCAATAAAGAGCATAGGTAACGTCACCTGTGCAATATTCTTGCACAAAATGTTTAACCTCAATTAAATCACAAGGAAACCATTGGATAAGCCCAAATTTAGAGTCATTCTGAAAAATAATTGACCTGACTTCTTTAAAATGTCAGTGTTAGCAAAAGTGAAGAAAACAAAATGAAGGAGGGGAGAAGGAAGAGGAAGAGAAAGGGACAGGGTGGGGAGGAGAGAGCAGGGGAGAGACAGAAAGTAAGAGAAGGAAAGGATAGGGGAACTTTCTTGAATTAAAGGAGATGATGAAAAAAGAATATAAAATTTAATGCATGATCCTAGGTTGAATCCTGGGCCTAAAATTAAAACTAAAACAAGCAAACAAATAGCAGCTATTAAGGGCATTATTGGGGCAACTGTGGGTATTTGAATGTGGACAATATATTATGAAGTAGCATTATATCAGTGTTAAATTTCTTAAGTATAATGATTGTGTTGTAGTTATACAGAGGTATACGCTCTTGTTCTCAAGAGATTTTTGGTGATGTATTTAGGGGGGACGCGACTCTGCAACTGGTCTTCAAATGCTTCACCTGAAGCCAAATCTTTCACAATATACATATGAGGAAAGCATTATTGTGCCAAAATGTTGTCAATGGGTTCAGGTATATAGGTGTGTATTGTACTAGTGTGACTTTCAGAAGACTCACAACAACTCCGGAGGCTAAGGCAGGAGGATTGCTTGAGGCTAGGAGTTTGACACCAGCCTGGGCAACATAATGAGGCCTCATCTCTAAAAAAAAATGAAAACAAATTAGCTGGGCATGGTAGTATTAATACATACTTGTAGTCCCAGCTACTCCGGAGGTTGAAGCAGGAGGATTGCTTCAGCCCAGGAGTTTGAAGCTGCAGTGAGCTATGATCACACCACTGCAATCCAGCCTGGGAAACAGAGTGAGACTTCATCTTTTAAA